CACATACTTCATTTATAGTGTCTTTTAAAAATGCATTCATTAACTTAAGGTATTAATCATACTTCTAGAGAGGTATTTATTTGCACATAAAGGATGAAGTATTGGCCTTGAGCACTTAGGTGGGCCTCTCTTGAGTACAGTCCAAATGAGATTAAAAAGTGTTTTGGAAATAGTTGACAAAATAAATAAAAATTCAATAAAATATAATTTTAAAATGCAATATTATCTAAGTCAGTATGCAGCCTTCGGGCATCCTTATGCCTTAAATGTACCTAGTGGGTAATGCAAGTAGAGGACTAGGCCTAGGTCCAGGAAAACTTGAGTTCAAATCTGCTCTCAGACTTTGCCTCAGTTTTCTCATCTGTAACAATGGGGATAGCAATAACGGCTACTTCACAGAGCTGCTGTGAGGATCAAAAGAAATTATATCTGTAAAGTATTTGGCACAATATTAGTGCCGTGCTTAGCACATATAAAATGCTGGCACATATTAAGTGCTATATGGGGTTTAGTCATTATCAGCATTGTTAATAACAGATTAGGGACCGCTGTGTCTATGTAAGTTTGACAGAACTGCATTATACCCCCTAACTGCCAAAAGTTAATTCTACAGACAATATGCAACTACCTCTAGAAATATTATTAATACTTGGAGTTAATATATGTATTTTAAAAGATACTACATGCAAATACATATCTTTCTGTTGTTTTTGTTTCTGCTTATGAATTCTAGGATATTATATTGAGATTTGGGATATGTAACAGAGGTCATAGAGTCTCATCCCTTAATTTCACTGATGAGGAAACTGTGGCCTGAAGAGATGAAGAAATTTCCCCAAAGTCATACAAATACTAACTAGTAGAGCCACAATTTTAATCAAGTTCTTGTGAATCTGAATCCAGCATGTTTTCTACTATATCCTGCTGCTGGTAGCCGCTAAGCATCAAATTAGTCTGCACACATTCCCTTTAGAAAACATTCTAGGGCCTCCCCTAAAATTAATAATGGAAATGGGGGCAGGAGGTACCACTGACCTTTGGGAGTTATGCAACCCCAGGAGTCCCTCATGGTTCTCTCCTGGGCTATCTTCTCCTCTCCCACTATACTACTTCCTTACTTGGTGGTCTGACCAGCTCTCATGGATTCATTCACCATCTCTATACTGATGGTTCTTAGATCCACCTATCTGCCCAAATCTCTCTGCTGACCTAAAATCTCACATCTCCAACTGTCTTTTAGAAATCTTGAAATGGATATCCAGTTAAGATGTTTATCTTAACAGAACTCATTATTTTTCTTCCTAAACCCTCCCCTCATTTCCCACCTTTCCTGTTACCATAGAGGGAAATACTATCCTTCCAGTCTCTCAGCCTTTCAACCTAGGAGTCATCGTAGATTCCTCACTATTGATCATTCCCTCCTATCCTAGCTGTCACCAAGGCCTGTTGCATTCACATTTGCAATATCTATTGAATACTTCCCCTCCTCTCCTCTGATACCTTCACAACTGTGATTCAGGCACTCATCACCTCACACCTAGATTATTGAAACAGCCTGCTGGTGGGTCTGCCCACTCCACTATTTAACCACTAAAGAAAAAGTGAATTTCCTAAAATGCAGGTTCAATTATGTAAACTCATCCCACCCCTATTTGATAAATTCCACTAGCTTCTTGTTGCCTCCAGAAACAAATACAAAATACTGTATTTTGCATTCCAAGCCCTTTATAATCTACCCCTCTTCTACTATTCCAGTCTTCTTACACCTTTCTCCAACACCTACTCTTTGGTCCAATGGCACTGGCTTTCTGGCTGTTCCACAAACAAGACACTCCATCTTTCAGCTCTGGACATTTTCTCCAGCTATTCCCTGAACCGGAAATGCTCTATCTCCTCTCCTCTAACTACTTATCTTCCTGGTTTTCTTTAAGTCCCAAATGAAATCTCACCTTCCACAACCCCTCTTAATTCCAGGGCCTTCACTCTTCTATTATTTCCTATTTATCATGTGTATGTGTGTGTGTGTGTGTGTGTGTCTCACATACATACATATACATATCTTGTGTGTGCATATATATATATATATATATATATATATATATTTATATCCTGTGTATATCCTGTATATATGTATATATATATATATATATATATATATATATATTTATGTCCTGTGTATATCCTGTATATATTTGTTTGCAAGTTGTTTCCCCGTTAGATTGTAAGCTTCTTGAAAGCACTGTCTTTTGTCCCTTTTTGTATCCCCAGGCACTTGATTCCTTATTTACTTAAAGGTCTTACTATAGAACATTGAACTGGATCCTTTGAAAAAGCAGCTTCCTGTGCTCTAAGAAACAATGATGAGGTTACATATGTGTTCCCAGAAGAAAGAAAGGTCATCAAATATTGGTAGAAGAAACAAAGGACAAATCATAATGACTCCCTGTGGTGGAACCTCTAAAGTGGTGGAACCTCTAAGTTCAACCTGACATGAGAAATAGAGAAGTATGCTGCCATTGGATAGCTTCCTGAAAACTGTAAAACATCTCCTCTTTAGCCAGTTCATTTGGGGGGAAATGATAGCACTGTCAGGAAATGAGAAAAGAATTGATGGGTATAATTAAGCCTGAGGAAGAATCAGAAAACCTTAACAAAAATGGTATCTTCAACACCATTATCGATGGAAAATAGTAACTTCAAAAGGGAATGGAAGATGTAGGAAACAAACATCTCTTTGCATAGAAGATGCTTAAGAAATGTGTGCTGAATTAAATTGAGATACATATATATCAAATGTACCAAAGGTATTTCTCCACTATATGTATTGCAACCTTTAGATAGATGTTTAGTAAAGGAAAAAGCAAGGACATAGGAAGACTACCAAGATACTAATTGACCAGTTACCATCCTAAAATTCCTAACTATACTAAGACATGTCAGGATGTTATTTTCGTTCCATCAAATTTGTATTTACAATTATAAGGACTTAAGGAGAAAGCATAACACACTAGGACCCAGTGACTGACATGGTGTTAAAGCAGAAGATTTAGCAATCAAATCTGCTGATAGAGTGCATTCACTAAACTGAACTTCACATTGAGAAATCTATGAGGAATGGAGTCTCCCAAGTAAGCAGAGCCAAACACGGGACAAATAGGAAGTTGTACAGTCCCAGGGATGGCACATTTGAAGGCATTCATTTTGTACTCCCTGGGGCTATATTAGCTGGTCTTCACAGATGTTTTTGAAGCTTTATAAGATTATGATTAAAAGGATTTTTCCAAGAGAAATCTCAGCTCAAACTTCAAAGGTGGTCAGAAAAATAGTCTCATGGCTGCCAATTTCAATTTGTACTACTGAACAATATTCTTATTTTCCAGATGCCATTTTTGCTGCTAAGTAATGTCAGGATATTAGGAGAGACTCTGTTTTCCAGATCTAAGGCCCAGCAAACAAGTTGTGGGCTGAGCTTGGCATAACAGCAATCCTTTGTGTTCACCCTCTGGAGGACCTCACCCTCTGGCAAAATCATATAATTGTATTGCTTTGGACAGCACCAGGTGTTCTCTGAGCTCGACAAGTTCTGGTCTTGAAGCCCTGCTATGAATCAAACTTGTCACATTGTTGCTGTTGCCCCTCATTTTCAGGGCTACAACTCACTGCACAACCATTGGTATAAAAATTGAGATCTCCCCACAATGCTTTGGGTCCGTCCACTAGGGGTGAGGCCTCACCGTATGTGTCTTTGCTTGCAAGTTGTTTCACTCACTTTAAAATTAAATTTCTGTTTGATTCCTGAGTCTCTTCTCTCTAGCCTATTCTGTTCAGCTCCGGCCATCCACAGGTTAGAGGCTGGCTCGGTATAGTTGACAGTAAAATAGATGAGATAGATAGTGTCTAAGGGTGTGATAATGAAATACAGAGGCCTAACTAGCTGTATTTTCACCTGGGCCAAGAATCTGGTAGTAGGGCTTACCTGGTAGGCAGTTTGGCATGGAAAAAGGGAGCCAAGAACATACCCGACAAAACACTCCCCCTGGAAGATGATGTTTGCATCCTCTAACTTTCCTACCTTGTGGCAAAGGTCCAGCTGCCCCAGGCAATTACCACTACAGCATAAGACATAGACTTTAGTATTCCTGAAGAAGGCCATTCTCAAGTTTTAGTTAGATTGATGATTACATTTTGCTAAATTATGAGGAAAAAATAGCAACCTTTATAACTACATATCAGTAACCATGCTCCCCTGGAGAGAAACAACAACATCCAGGTTAGTTTAGGAATGTGAAAGCTATATGCTCCCTAATCTGAAATCAAGATAGCAATTAAAATATATAAAAATCACAAATAGATGAGACTAGTATTTTCATGATCAGGTAAAGTTTCTTTTAGTTTTCACCCCCTGAGAATTCAATCTTGCAGTTTTATAGATTACATCTTTTTAATAGTTTTAAAAATGTTTTAAAAGTTAATTTAGGAGTTTATGAAATGGGATAAGTAAGGATGATTCACTAAGTGGATAAAGAAGAGAATTTAAATTATTTATAGTGAAATTTGTCATTGGGCATGTTGGGGAAATAGATTCATAAGACCTGAGAGCAGGAAGGAAACTTAGATATGTGGCATCCTTGTTAATTAAAAATCTTGGTTATCTGCATCACCATATATAGTATAGCTATTGTTACATTCATCACATTATAAATAATTTATGCCAATGGTTAAGTTTCTCTAGATTTGCTGTTTTTCCCCCTTCTTTGGTATTCTGTACATAATCCCTGTTGCAATATTCACATAGCCCTTTAAAACTTGCAAAGTATTTCACATGGGTTATCTCATTTAACCTTCACAACTCTTTTGGTAGGTGCTGTTATTATCCACTTTTTATAGTTAAGGAACCCCAAGGTGAGAAGTTAAGGTGACTTGCCCTGAATTCCTAACTCTAAATTGAGCTGCCTAGCTATCTACAATCCAATTACAATATATATTTTGTTTTATTTCAGAAACAACAAACAGTAATATGACAGACCAAGTTTTTAAAAAGCATCTTTGAGATCATCACAGCATTTGGACATAGAACTTAGAAAGCTGTTTGGTTCAGGTAGCGACCCCATCAAAGAGCTGAAGCCTGAAAACCAAAGACAAGTGGAAAGGACTTTACAGAAGTATAGTTGCTGTCCAAGATTTCAAATGTCACATCAGTAGGAATATAATTCATTGCAATAATCATGATGGTGTTGAATGGAATGCTTGTAAATCTAGCCTTCTGATCATAAGAGAGAACTAATTCCAAAACCAACTCTGAATTTATTTGTAAGCACTTAGGAAGTAAATGGAAACAAGAACTAAACGTCAATAGAGCTTTAATGTATGTGATGGTGGAGTAGGAGCATGGTACCTTAACTCTGCACCCCAAATTGTTAATGATCTATTACATACTTCTGCTTGAATATTCCATCGTTATCAAAAACTCAACATGCACAAAATGGTAGTGGTCCTTTCTGTCAAAGAACATTTCCTTTCAGGATTTGCCTTTTGTTTTTTTTACACATTTCTCCTAGCCATTCAGGCTTCAAACTTCAGGATTAATCTTTGATTCTTTGCTCTTGCTCCCCACCACTACCAGATGCAATCTGTCACTATCTCACCACCCTTTTAACCAAAGTCTTTGCGTTCTTCTTCTCCTTTCTGATTGGGAAGGAATGGCCCCTCCAAAGATAGTTGTGGTGAGTTTAGATTCTTGTCTCCAGTCATACAGTGTAGATCTACATGAAGATAAAAATGTAGAGTCTAAAGGGTTTGTTTGTTTGTTTTTAAATTGCATTTGATATCTGTAGAATATAGCTTTAAAATTGCAGATCGGATTTGTGAATCTTCAAGAGATAAAGTTGAGTTGAACAAGCATGATACAGGAAGAAAAAGTAAAGAAAGGGAGATGGAGTCCACAAGCATAGTCAAGGAATGGATAATGGATTAATATAATCCAGGATTGTGTTAATAATAGATTATTAAAAAGTAATCTATTTAAAAGATCATAACTTTTAATAAAGTTATGAAAAGTAAAAGCTATAGAGATGTGTTTGTAAAATTGGGCAGGGGGGAAAGAGGACATGTAGGATTTCAGTCACAACAAGTGAGCAACTGAGTACAGCCCAAAAAGAGGAGTATCTTGCTGTGATGAATAAAGTACTGGACTTTGCACTCAGAATAGATTTTAGAATTTTTCCTTGTCTGCTTACCTGGAGTATGACACTAGAAAGGTAGCTCAGCTTTTTTGGGCCTCAGTTTCCTCATCTGTAAATTGAAGGACAAACAAGTAGTGAAAGAACCTACCTTACCAGGTTGTTATATCAGATAAAATAATCTGTGTAAAATAGTTTGTACATTTTAATGCAAATATAAAAGCAGTGGTTACTATTCTAGATAGGGAAGACAACAGACTAACCAGAGAAGTCAATTAAAATAAATCTGGGAATGTTTTATTTCTGTATGTACTTTCCTGGTGCAAAACAATGCCAGGCAAATAGTAACGGCTTAGCTAGGTGTCAGATAAGGTAGGGGAAAAGAGGCAAGAGGTACTTAAGGCAAAAATCAAGAACCTAGCCTATGAGACTGGGTAGTCAAGAGTTGGCAACTCAAAAGAAAGATCTGTTCAATTAGGGGTCAAGACCCAAGCAAGCTCTTTGAGTAAACCAGGTAACCTTTCTGGGACTCAGTTTTCTCTTACATAAAATGAGGTTATATAGGGCTAAATAAGCACTAATTTCCCTTGAAGCTGTAGATCTTGAAATCTATTTATTTGTGTTACTTAAAGGTCAGGGTTATCATCATCTCTAATGCACCCCTTTGAGCTCTAAAAATCCACAAGGGGATGTCTTCTATAGTATGGTCAAACATACACTTGCAGGAAAAAAAAATAAGACAAAATCTCCAGACCAAGGGAAATTTATATCTCTGTGTTTGTTGGTATGTGTGTGTGTGTGTGTGTGTGTGTGTGTGTGTGTGTGTGTGTGTGTGTAGGTGTGGTTGGATGGGTGTGGGGGGTATACGTGTGGGGGGTATACGTGTGGGGGGTATGGGAGTGTGTGTGTATGAATGAAAAGGTCACCAAAAAGGGGAAATAAATTAAGAAGTAGAGGTAGGTGGAAAGGGAAAGTAATTGATGGAGCTATGACCTTGAGGAAGCAGGATGAATTAGAGCAGGGCCAAGAGGTGTTTTGAGAGGTGAAGATGCAGAAGTCACTACCATATGTCCTCAGGCTTCTTATTAAAAATAGTAGTCAAGGTTATATGCTGACAGTAAAGCAGTATGGGCTTTAGCTTTTCAGAGAAGGCTGCAGGTTTCAGCCAATCAACAATCATTTTTAAGTGCTTACTATATGTCAGAAATTGTGCTAAAGATTGGGGATTCAAAGAAAGGCAAAAACAATCCCTTCCCTCCAGGAATTCACATTTTACTAGAGGACACAGCATGTAAATAACTAGGTATATCCAAGATATATACAGAATAGATGAAAGGTTTATCAGGGAAAGGTATGAGTAGCTAGGGAAACTGGAAAAGACTTCCTGCAGAAGGTAGAATTTGAGCTTGGACTATAAGGAAGCCCACATCAGCTAAGAGCCAGAGGAAAGAGGAGAAGGAATTCCTAGCACAGGAGATAATAGGTGTAAAGGCGTGGTGGAGGAGTGCAGTCTGGCAAGTAGACCAGGGTAAGAGGGTCCTAGAGTGCATAGAAAGGAGTAAAGAGTAAGTTTGTAAATGTAGGAAGGGCCCATATTATGAAAAGTATTAACTGTCAAAGGACTTTATATGTGATCCTGGAGTTAACAGAGAGAGAGGTGGAGGAAGTAATATGGTCAGATTTATGCTTTAGAGAAATGATTTTGGCAGCCAAGTGGATAATGGATTAGAGTGGGGAGAGAGCTAAAGCAAGGAGAACAATGAGATGGCTCCTGGAATAGTTCAGACAAGAGGTGATGAGGGACCGAACTAGGGATATTGAATCTTGAGTAGAGATATATGCGTATTTATAGACGATGATGTGAAGATAGAAACCAAGGATTTGGCAATGGGCTGGATATGTGGATTGAGCCAGAATAGTAAATAGGGAATGACACCGAGTTTCAAGGCTGAATGACTAGGAGGATAGTACTACCTCTTACAATCAAAAGGACATTTAGAAGAGGGGAAGATTGAGGGAAAAGATAATGAGTTACATTTTTGACATGTTGAGCTTGAGGTAGCATCAGGATATCCAGTTAGATATGTCTAAAAGGCAGATGGTGAAGTGACTGGGACTCAGAAGAGAGATTTCAGCTGGATTTGCAGATCTAGAAATGATATGCACAGAGATAATAGCTGAACTCATGTATGATCACTGAGTAAGAGAGTATAGAAAGAAAAGAGAAGAGGGCCCAGGACAGAGCCTTGGGAGATAGGCTTACACTGTTAATAGTAATAACACGAGTAAAGAACTAGCAAAAGAAAGAGAGAAGTAGTCATACAGACAGAAGTAAAACCTAAGAGAACAGTGGCACCAAAAAAAAAAAAACATACCACCAACAACAGAGGAAATAGTATCAAAATGACTCATTTTCAATTGCATTTCAGTCATTAGGAGTAATGTAACACAGAGTCAACAGGAAATGAATAGAAAAATTAACAGGGAGCAGTGAATGTCCATTTGAAGTGAGACAGCTTGAATTTGCAATGAATTTGTCATAGAAACATAGAAACTCAAACGTGCCACTACCATAAATCCCATGTATATACTGAATTGTGTCAGAAAATCTCCAGGTAGCACATCATTGGATCCTATACGCATACTACAGAAAATGAGTGAACCGAGTTTTGCCAAACCAATAAAACATCACAATACTCTTGCCTAATATCCAGCACAAGGAATCATCTGTCAATATGCTGCTGCTATACCAGCTTTAGAGGCACTGGTCATTCATGACACTGCTTCCACTAGATTCTGAGAACAAATGAGATCCTATGGAAGACACCGGAATCATCTTCTCCTTGACTTTGGCATATTTCCCCTGGATATAGATTTCCCCTTGCATTTATGAAGCTAAAGCAATTGACAAAGAGATTTCTATCACCCAGCACTCAAAGAAGATATTCAAATAGGCCAATTTCTCCCATTTGGCATTTCTGAAGGTCCTAGGCTTGTGATTCTTTGACTAATTCTTCCTGCTAAACTCACCTGCCTAGACAATGAGCACCCCTGTGCCATATTAATGCTCATGATAGCCACACAAAAAGTGCGTCACTAAGTCAAAATTCATAAACACTCATCAAAATATATCAAAAATAAATTTTCTTATTTAAGATAAAAGAATCAATGAAGACTATGTAGTCTCTAAACACTGCTAAATAAAAAATCCCTGTGAACTGTTAAAATGGAAAAAACCCGATGTCCAAAAAGGGAGACCTGGAATAAGCCAGTCCAATCACGGTTTGCAAAGATCATAATTTCATTTATTGCCTAAAGGGAGTTTGCAGGCTGGAACAGGGAGAAAGGGTCCACATTTGTTTAAAGTAGAGTTGGAAAGAGTGAGGTATTTCTACTTTTTAAACAAGCGAAGGCAGAGAATTGGGCAGGTCCCATAACGGAGTGAGACAGGGAGCTCTATTCCTCTGTGTGTGTGTGTGTGTGTGTGTGTGTGTGTGTGTGTGTGTGTGTGTGTGTGTGTGTGTGTGTGTGTGTGTTGGGGGGAGGTGGGGAGGGGGAATCCAGGAAAACAGAAAGAGGAATTCCAGGCCCTTTGATAAACAAATCAGAAAGCATTCCTGGTGTTAAGCAGGTCTGGCAGTTTAAGGCTTGAATACAAACAATAACAAATGGGGATGTCTCCAAAAATCATAAAACAGGATGTGTCTGAGAATTCCATAACCAACAGTTAGGGGAGTCTCTGAAGATAAGGATGTCTCTTAAAGGTCCATAAACCACCAAATGGCTCAGGATCTTCTTCAAAGCTGGTATGAGTTTAATTGGCTCCAGATTTCCTGATTTTCTGCACATCCAGCTGGGTTTACTCTCTGTCACCACAAAGAAGTGTTGATATGTCAAGCCACTCTGTATCCTAGCTAATACAGCCTGCCTCATACAGCTCTTCTCAGTTACCTGAATAACTGGGGGGCTTGAGCAAATCAAGGTAGCTGGCATATCCTTTTTTTCACAATATTTAACTATTTTTACTAAGAAAAAAAAAGGCTTCAATGGGAAGGGGTAGGGGAGGGCAGCATAATAAATAGTGTAGCCATAGACTTA